ACCAATTGCAGAAGAAAGCCAGTGCAAATCATTACTGGTTGTGGACAAAAGACAAAGGAAGTGTCTAACTATTACGGATGAAGGAAAGTAAGAGGAATGTTCGTGCTTCGCCTGCATGTAGACAAGCTACAATGTGGCTTGACTGTGGGCAGAGGTAAATCTGAGACGCAAATATTGCATATAATAAAAGTATTAAAGAAAATATATTAATTATATGATAATAGGAGGCTTGGGCCAATTGAAATTTTAGGTTTTTAAGGTGCGAAAATTATATAAGAACAACTAGGGAGCCTCATTTAGGTCATCCAATTTAACATTGAAAAGCAAGGAGGCTATTTGCCATCAAGCATTATTGCAAGCGCATGGGTTGTCACAAGTAGTAGATTCTTTCAAAGATATATTTCCCATGAAGATTAGTACAAAAGAGAGTTCAAAATTTACTATTTAGCTTTGGAATATGTTGAGCAAAATTAAATATGAAGTTTGCTTAAAAGTAACGAAAATTAAAGTGAAAAATGTTTTAAAAACAAGTGAAAATTGGTTGAAACTTTAACTCAAAGAGAATCGGACCTAGATTATCTCTCCCTTTTATATTTCATAAGACTTAAATTAATTTCTCTCAAAATGATTTTTTAATAAAAATAGGTGTTAGTTTAAGATTATAATTTATTTAACAAGTTTTCTTGAGTCAAAATCAAGTATTTTTATAAACACTAAAAATTCTCAATCTCTTGAAAATAATTAATAAAAACAAATTTATAGCTCCAATCTTAATTTAACTATGAAGGGCTAATAAAATATCTTTATTTTACCATCAAAATTATCCATTTAACATTATAAATTTCAAGTTAAACACTATTTTATTCACGTTCTTCACCTAAATTAGTTTTCTTAAGCACAACCCAAGTAAACATAACAATCTAAAGGGTAATGAAGCACTTAAAAATATTAAACAAGGGATCAAATAAACACTTATATATATCATTAGCTATAAAAAGAGAAGAATATTCAACTCTTAATCTATACAAAGATTCAAAATAATCCTAGAACAAGATTACTAGCTACTCATGTTTAGAAATAAGCTAAAAGTGTAAAAATGTTTTAAACCCATATCAGAAACAAGAAGGAAAGGGAAGAGAAAAAGAAAAAAAAAAGAAAATCTACTTAAATTTCTTCACATAATCAATCCTTTGCCAAATCTCCTTCAAAGACCTAAAACTTGAGTAGAACTTGCCCTAAGGAAACTTTGGAAATTGTGGAATGCATCAGCAAGTCTAATTAGAATGTCATATATGTAACCCTAGCTTCAGTTCTGACTTCAAAAAGCAGAGTTTTAGTAAATACTCTTTAGCATGGCTTAAATGTCTTTGGAAGCTTGTAATCCATGGCTAATTTTCCTTTAGCTATGGCTTAATACTCTCTAGAAGCATGTTAGCCATAGCTAGTTAGTTGTTGGCTACAGCTAAGGCGCTGTTGTACAGGTTTTGGTTCTAACTTTTGGCTGAGATCAAAGGTGTATCAGTTGAGCTTGATTCTCCACTCTTTGTCTTGTCTTTTTTTGGGTGTAAAGACTTCCTAGCTCCTTCTTTACTTTTCAAATGATGCTCCAACAATCTAAGAAGACAAGTAACTTTTTGAGGCTCAAGTTTAATCTTAACCAAGATAAAAATCATGCATAATTTAGATCAAAATGTTTTCATTTAAGCTCAAGAATAAGATATGCACATTTTCTTGTTATATGTATAAAAAATATGCACAACTTCATCAAAAGCATGTGAAATTGTAGGAAAAGTGCTGAGATGGTACAAATTTCTATAGGCTATCAAGGTTATCAAAGGTAGAGCATGATGTTTTGATAGACCCCATGGCATGAATGACATGGTGTTAATGACAATGAAGCTTGAGGATGGTAATTATGAGTATGGTGGCATGAAAGGAGCCCAAGACAAGGAGCAAGAGCCCAATACTTCCAATCCAACGTACCTAAAGACCCTTTACAACATATTAGAGGTCAATAACAAGAGCCCGAACTAAAGCCATGAAGCAAGCCTTATTTAGTCTTGTGTAAGAAGTCCAAGAGCTTGGAGAGAATTGGGACACTCCTCTCAAGCCCAAAGGAGAGCATCTATATGTGTATAATATGTTTAAAATCCAAATCTATAAAGAGTCAAGCTCAAGAGATGCAAATCTTAGCCCAATGCAAGGAAGACTACAAGTGGAGTCTCTTGCAAGCAAGAAAGCATGAAACCCCAATGAAGAAGTCAAGGGTGGCGTGATTTTGAATTTTTTATAATTCCCTTGATTGTCTCTTTAATTTTTTCCTATTTTAGTGGTCTGTTGACTTGACTCCTTTTCTTAAGGAGCAAGACTAGTCTCATTTTCTTATTTTGAATCTAGTCAAAGATTAGGATTAATTATACTATTAATTTCTAATTTTTGTAATCCTATAATTTTAGGATCACATCTCCTAAATTATATGGCTGAATATTTTCTCATTATTTTATATTATTTTCTTTCTCTTTTTTAGTATTAAGAAATTATGGTTTTAATTTTAGAAAATAGTATTCTCTATGAGCCTATATATATTAGGCATGCTCCCTCTTGTAAACGAAAGAGAAGTTGAATGAAATTATTTATTTTAGAGTTTATAACTCTTGTGAGCCTTAGTACTTGTGGTAGCATCCCGTGTGAGAAATAGACGTGATCAAGAGCGTGACCAACTCTTGTGGTATCTTCTAAGGTTGAGGTTTCTAGACGTGGGTACTCTAGAGGATCTTATCTTTGATCATTATCCCATTGTTTATTTCATTTCTTTTTTATTTTCGTCATAAATTTGGTCCTTTTCTTTTTGTTCTTTTGTTTTTATTGTAGTTTAGGGTTCTGTCCTTAAACTAGCATGATTCTGATTCCGTGTCCCCTATCAAGTTTGGTTATGAGTTGGGAGTTTTCCCTTTTCTTTATTCTCCTTACTTTGTTTATGCCTTTATTTTGGGACTTTTGTATTAACTTTATAAGTTCTTTCTAAATCCTAAGTCAGGGTAGGGAATAGCTTGGTCGGGATGGATTCTTCTCTTTTATTTGATTATTTTATTTTGCTGTTGGACATAATTTTTTGTTTATGAGAATTTATCATTTTATTTATATATCTCTCTTGTTCTAGTTTCTTTTTATATATGTGGCCACTATATAACCTATCTATGGGTTGTTCGATGAACTAGGAGGTGAGGAACTAACTTAAACCTAGAGAGATAGATATAGATAACTGAATTAGGGATAATTCATAATCTATGGTGACTTAAACCCTATTTCATGATCTAATTAGTACCTTTTGAGTTAGGTGGAAGCCAATTTAATGCTAATTAAACATGCCCTAATATGTTGAAAGATAATTAGGATATTTTAGGAATGATTGTCACTATAAATAAAGAGCAAAAGATTAACTAAATTAGAATAAGTCATTCCAGTAGGGGACTCTTGATCTCTAATGCTTGTTTGTTATCATTGCTTTTATTTGTGCTGTTTAATTAATTATAAAACCCCTCTGTAAAATTAATTGGTTTTTTTTTATATATAAGAAAACAAGGTTAATTGCTTTTTCCTATGTTCAACGTCTGGAATTCTCTGGGATTATATGACTACATCGATCCCATACACTTGTGAGAGTGACTATCTGCCAAAACTAGCAGAAAATATAGAAGAAAAGAAAGAGCGCAAAAATTGGACACAATTTATAAGAAGATTTTATCATTTCAAAGTGAGGACGAAATACTCATTACTCATACCTGTACCAAACCACGTCGAGCATTCGAAACAACGAGAATGATAAAAGAGGAAGATGAAGAAAATAAGAATGTAACGATGGGTTTAAAAAGAAAAACGAGAAAGAATGAGGGCTTCGATGACCACTGCTATCGCGTCCTTTGGTTTTGTGATGTAAGAGAAGATGAAAGTGAAAACACTGAAGAAACCCTAAAGAATTTAAAAAGCAAATCTACATCAGTTTTCTGTTTTAATAAAAAAACTAATGTAGATTCCACTATCTATGTCGGTTTTTTCAAAACCAACAGGATGAGTCCATCATTCTATTTCGGTTTTATAAAAAAAAACCGATGTAGATAGGTAGAAGATGAACAATATGATAACATAACGATGGCTTTAAATAGAAAAATGAGAAAGAATGAGGGCCTCGATGACCTCTGCGATTGCGTCCTTTGGTTTTTAAATGTAAGAGAAGATGAAAATGAAAACATTGAAGAATCCCTAAAGAATTTAAAAGGCAAATCTACATCAGTATTTTTTTTTTTTATAAAAACTGATGTAGATTCCACAAAACCGACATGATGAGTCCATCATTCTATATCAGTTCTGTTTTTTTTGTTTTGTTTTTCAAAGAAAGGTAGAAACTTCACTTTCAACACTAAATGTTTGCAATTCTATTACATTCTTTTTTCTACATCAGTTTTTCAAGAATTGACGTAATATCTATTTTGTGTATTAGTACTTGTAAAATTTGACTCATATAAAGCCCTTCTGTGCAACTTCAGAAAAAAAAAATTAAGCAATTGATTGAAACCTTTTAAGATTCTTATATTGGCGTAAATACGCTGGTGATTAAATAATTTTAGTTCGCAAAAGTTTTATGTATATAGTTATCAAAGCTACAATTGAAAGTACAAATTTGCAAGGGCCCCTCCATGTGGACTTCATTTGGTCTCTGAATGTTTGGACTTGTCAGTCAGGTCCACTAGCACTATTAAGAGAGAGAAAACCATTGTGTAGAGAGAAAAAAGTCTACGCTTTCATTTCTCGTCGAATATTTCCTTTGATTTATGATGACAAAGAGTATGTGATAAGATTACGGGGGAAATTGTTATGTTCCAAAATATAGAATTTTAACTAAATTAAATATTGTTTGAAACTGCGGTTAACTTTTATCCTCTTACTCGAGAAGAAAGAAAACAGGAAATCCAAGTTATGGGAAAAAAAAAAAGAAAATAAAATAAAAGAACGCTACTTTTATTGATAAATTCATGACTCACTGACGTAAAAAAAAAAAAATTCACCCTCTATAGTAAAAAATGTGAATAAAAAAATGAAGTATAAGCCTTTTGTTTTGTTTATGCGTATATTGTTTCTTTGCTTTTCCCTTCTCAAATCAGTTAAATAAATCCCTCCTTAAGCTGTTGCAGTAGTGGAGTTCACAACTTTCATGGCATCAAACCTTGGTTCCTTAGCCTGAAACTTGAGTGCAGCATAGAGCTTCATGTAATCGTCAAACACAAATTTTGGATACATCTGATTGGTTTCGTCTTCCTTTCCTTCAATCAATGGTGGTGCTGGATGTATAACAGCATCACTTCCTGGATTGTAGAATGAAGCTACAGACATCCTAGTCCCATTAGCTTGGGTAATCACACGATGTTCCACACTCCTGTATTTCCCATTTGTGATTACCTGTTCAAGTGAAATTGTCCGTTACTTTTGTATCAAGATATTGTTTATCACATTGCTTCTATCTCTATCTAGCTGCACAGGTTGTATTGATTGAGTGAATATAGTAAGTATACTATCAAGTTAATTTATGGAACATTTTATGTTTAATACCTCAATTTGGTCACCGAGGTTGATGACGATGGAGTGGCGCATTGGAGGCACATCGATCCATTGGCCGTCTTTGAGAAGTTGGAGGCCGCTAACCTTGTCATCTTGGAAGAGGAGGATGATGCCACCGGCATCGGTGTGGGCACGAAGACCCTTCACAAGTTTAGGGTTAGGGCAAGGAGGGTAGTTGGCAACCTTTGTGCCAAAAGTTGGTCCTCTTGATCCACGGAAGACCTTCTTGAGATAGCCCTTCTCTAGTCCAAGATTCTCACAAAGCAAATCATGTAGTTCCTCTGCAAGTTTCCGTATTTGTTCTGCAAATTCCTTCATTAACTTCCTGCATTCAACAAATAGTTCAGAATATGTACATATACGTTTACCCATTTATATACTTGTTCTCATTTCTGATTTATATCTTATATGTGCATTCTAAGCAGTACTCTAAAACACATATGGATACGTATATCAAAATGTTTTTATTCTCATGTCCTTTAAAAAAAGTGTTGGAGAAAAGCCAATGGGACTTGGGTTTAGGGGACTTCTCTGTTGGAATTTGAACATTGGTTCATCATATTTTGAAGGATTAATCCCTTCTGCCGGACCCAACTCTTCCAGTGGTTAAATTATTTTGTTGTTAGAAAACAAAACTTGTATTGTGCTAACCTGTATTCATCAGTGAGATCTGGGATTTCAGAGAAGTTTGAGTCTGGCAAGTGACGCAAGAAGAAGGTACTTTCCCAGTCCATGTCCTTAACCTCAGCTTGAATACCCTCTATTGCTTTTCTTTCCACAAACTCCTTGAACCTTCTCTCCATGCATTTCCTATAATGCTCTTTTGTTAACCTCTCCACTGCGTCCAATAGTTCAAGGGATATCCCGTGGTTCACCAACTACAGGAAAAAACATTGAGATTTTCTTTACTAACTCCCAACAAATTGAAAAAATAATTAATCACAAATATGCTTTGGCAAAAAAAAAAAAATCGCAAATATTCATAGATAATTAAATACCTCAAAAAATCCCCAATTCTCACAAGCGTCATGAATTTTCTCCATGGTAGCCTTTCTCTCTTCGCCATTAATCTTCTCCAAGTTGATTACTGGGAAGTTCTCCATTTTCCAAACACTCAAACTCTCTTAATATATATTTCTTTAGCGTCTGAGATATATCCCTCTGTCAGATGCTATGTTGTATTTCCAAGCAAAGTGTATGGTATTTATAGATAGGATATGAGTTCAAAGACTGGGAAGAAGGACGTAGGAAACCACGTTAAAAAAGGACAGTGATCCTGTGACAGTGTGACTTACACGCTTTCATAGTCTGACCGTTGAAGAGATTAATTTGCGTTTTTGAATTTTCCACCAATAATTTGGGGTGTACTTTAACATTAAGCGCGTATGTAATTATTGTGATTACTGTGTTGGGTTTGTCCGTTTTTGTTTTGGATGATCTTTAGCCTCACATTTCTCGGAAGGTGGCAAAAGTTAGCGGTCTAAATTGTCTCAATTAATTCTTCGAAGTGTCTCGTCGAAGATGGAATCATGTATACGCAAGGAAATATAAGTAAAAATTGTTTTGCGTTTAATTAGAATTATTTTTGAAATGGTTAATATTTTAAATATTTAAATATTTTATGTTTTCTCCAGGTTTATTAATTTTGAGAAGCTATTTTGAGTAATTTTTCAAAATAATAACAAATTTGTCATCTTTTCATGTAATTATTACTTTTTAAAAGTTAAGCTAAACATCATAAAATTTTAGAATTGATATTTTTAAATAAAAAATGATTTTTCCATGAAAAAATTGTTAATGAAATAGATCCTCAGAATACTGCCAATGGGAATAGCATATACAGGACACTAAGAATTGTTTTGAAAATTATAAAATATTGTATTTTTGAAGTACAATTTTTTATATGTTTAAAATAAAATAGCATAATATAATTAATTTTAAATAGTATTAAATTATTTTCCAGAACTTAAATTCAAGACTTTAGAATAAGCTGATTCAACTTTCAATTAGTTGATCCAAGCGTCCTTTGGTAATAAATTAAATTTGGCTATCAATAAAATGAGTTTGCTGGAATATGGTCCGCCCTTGATGAATTAGACCATATAATGAGAAGCCCAAACTCAAACTAATATTTAGAATTGGATTAAATATTTATTTAATTAAAATAATTATGGGTTTGTGGTTACATAGTTTTAGGAGGGAGCTATTTTTTGTATAATTTCAAAAATTACCAACTAAAATCCGGGTCTCCGCATGTGGTGAAAGAGAAGTTTTATCATCATTGGAGGTGGTTTTTTTCGTAATCTATTCCTACAATCTGAAAAATGTGGAAATTGAATTCATCGTGATGAAAAGTGTGTGCAAATTAAGTGATGAAGTGAGATCATGAACTAAATTCAAAATGAAATTTGTTTTTGAATCTGACTAATGAGTGAGAACTCCTGGACCTTTCTTATTTACGGCGGAAAATCAAAGTCCCTTTAGACTAAATGATGCCTAACTTTTGTCTGTTGCATGGCTGGAAAAAGGGCTAAGAATTGCACGCGCTATTATTATTAATCACATTTAAATTTTGGCGCTATTCCAAATATGAAAAGCATGGATATGTACGTAGTTGTTTTCTACCACATGCAATTTCTATATTCTCAATCAATTTTGTTCAAAATTTGCATAAAAAAGTCGGAATATACCTTAATCTAGGTTCGATTGTTCCCTACACATGATTCATAAGAAATGGATATGACCAGAAAAAGTGATCCCATTTCAAACTTTTTTTTCCCTTTGGGCTGAAATGTATTTTTGCCCCAATACTTTCCTTCAAGGAGCATTGGGCGCCTTTTACTAATAATTGATTATTTTTTTCCTTGAACCATTTTTTAGAAGAGCAAGAATCCCTATCTGTTAGTAATTCATTAATGGAGGGGGATTTTTGCTCCTCTAAAAAATGATTTAGGGGGAGAAAATGCACTACTTACTAATATAGGTTGCTCAGCGCTCCTTGAAGGAAGATATAGCAAGAAAAACGCACTTTAACCCCTTCAAATATGCAAACGATAATGAGATCTCACAAAATGTCATGATTCTTCTTAAGTCCCCTTCAGACATTAATGATTTTTTGTGAAATAACTAAATAGCCCCAGCATAAAATAAAATAATAAATATTAATTTAAGTAATGATTACTTTTCTTTTTGCAATAACTAGAATGAGACAAACAATTACAACTTTTCTTGTGCAAATTTTTGATTCACTGAAGTCAAAGTGTTGTAAATATCTATGATTACTTTAGTTTAAGTAAATTTGTAGAGGGAAAGTTGTAATTACCTATTCCATTCTGGTCATTACTAGAAGAAAAGTAGTTATTGCTTGAAGTAAGGGTAAAGGTGCATTTTTTCCTTTGATGTTTTCTCTGAGGACCACCCAGTACCCTAAGGTATTTCACATAGCATTTTTGCCTCTAATGTGATTAAGTCGGTGCCCATTACCTTGACATTAAATATTCAGATGTTGATTGTTTGGCTTGCTTAGTTTGTCTAAAATATGACATGAAATGTTGAGGTGGAACTAGCTTGACTTGTTGATTAAAATAAGAAGGGCACAAATATAATTTGGAGTTAGGATTTTCACAAGAAATGGTTACTTGTTAAAGCTTAAAGCCACCAGTATGTCAGAGAAGCTAAATAGAATGTTCGCTTTTTTAGCAACCTTAAATTTCAAGCCTTCAATGTTGTACCTAGAGTCAAATCTTATGGTTTTGGTTAGAGGCTAAAAACCAAAAAGAAAGCAGTAGAATTCATGGTGAGAGGATATAGATGTGATCAAAATAGGGAGATGGCTACAGTGCCGCCAAGGAAGACCAAGAGTTTGTCAAGGTTTTGTGGGAGGCTCAGCCATATATTTCTATTCATAGAGACAACATATTCATCCTCCTTATTTTTGTAGAAATTATTGCCAACCCTTACTTGGATGCCAGATCAGTAACTTATGGAGATCAAGAAAAGAAAACTAGCATGGGGAGGCTAAGGAAGAGGGAGATCATCACTAATGATGGAGAGGATGAGGTTTAAGGTCAATGGCTATGAAGAGAGAGGGAGATGAAGATGCTAAACTTCAAGGATGGAAATGGTAGATGCTGTAAAGATATAAGCTTCAAGGTAGACGGTTATAATATCTTGAATTTTAATCCAAGAAAACTAGTTACTCATCAGGGGTAAATTGGTAATTAGTGAATTGATTGTGGTTTGGATATTGAGTTGATTGACTATTGTATTGATAGGATTAAAGAGTAGAATGGCAGTTTGGAGTATAACATGCGAGCATAAGTGAGATTGAACTCATTGTGCCATGTACTGTGGTGGAGGTTGCATGCACTACAGTGCATTGCACAGAATTTTTACTTAAAGGTTAAGTCAGATTGTGAAATTAGAAAGGAAAGGAAGGGAAGACACAGTCGGAGAAGTGAGGAAGACTTAGATTTGCTAGGGATTGCAATATCCAGAGTGTGAGAGTTTGCTTCGACTAGTGGCTTGTTAAGTAAATAATGTGCAGCATTAAGCTTCATTTCTATCCTATTTTCATTGAATTTGATTGGTTGAGAAATTGAATTAGGGAATTTTAAGATATTGAAATCTAAAAGAAAGGCTTAAAAAGGGCTATCGAATACGAAACTAAAGTTTTATAACTAGCTAGATTTAAATGGTTAAGCTTTAAGGATTTAGTCTCAACTACCCTAAAAAGTTAGGTTATAAATTGAGAAAATTGGATGAATAAATGAGTTAGGAGGTTGTTATAGTCATTTAAGTAGCCTATAGGGCCAATGACTATAAGTAGTAGACTTATGAATTTGAAAGGCATTAATTAGACTAGTTTATGTGTTAAGGGATTCGGTTTAGTTGAATCAATGTTGTTACTAAGTATTGAGAATTGACTAAGGAATGTTATAGTATGTAGATAGAGCATTTATGGAGTTGCTCATGAGAGTCCACCTTTGAGAGCTTATTGTGATTGGTAACCCTTGTTAGTAAGGGTAAAAGGTAACTAGAGTAATCCTTTTACTTATTTGTTTATGAAATTGTTTACAAGTATTTTTGTATAACTATGTGCATTATATTATGAATTGATAGAGTAGTAATATTGTGAAAGTATATTCATGCAAGTACGTGAGTAATGTATGGTATGAATTTGAAGAGACATATACATAGACATATGCATTGCATTAGTGAGTATACCTTAGACTAGGGTAGGGGGTTGCGGTCCTACTTTGGGTAAGTTTAGGAAGTCCTGAATGTCTTGAGCATAAAGCTTGACTCCGCCAGGTAAGACCTAGGAGATCCTGATGATCTTGAGCATAGAGTTTGACTTCGCTACAACAGACCTAGGATAATGATCATTGAGTATACCCAGACTAAGGTAAGGGGTTGTGGTCCTAGTCTATACAAGGCTAAGAAGTCTTAAAGGTCTCGAGCATAGAGCTTGACTCTACTATGATGGACTTAGGAGACCACCCATATACAAAGAAGATACTTAGTCTAAAGAGTGGTTTGGTGGGCCTTGTTTAATGAAAGACTGAAAGTCCTAGTCCAAGCACAAAGATTGCTTTGTTAGGTAGAACTAGGAATGCATGAGCATAAGCATGATGAGAATGAATTTTTATATATGCATATGATATTGCTTTTATTAAAACATATGCTACTTTATCTTTTATTTATGATTTTACTTACTAATCGATATTTGAGTTTTCTCTAAGTTATTTAAATGTATATCTCACTTTGTTACCTTTATATACAGGTGAAGAGAGTATAAGAAGGCCGGGAAAGGGGGCTAAGAAAGAGTAGCATTAATTGGTAGTAGTATAATTATCATTTGTGTAAATGAATGTATAATAAGTTGTTATAGTTAAGTTGCTAAATGGATGCATAAGTGTCTGTGAATATGAAATTATAAATGTATATATGAATTGTGGTTGAAAACTTGCTTATATATATATATAATGTTGCATCTTACTGATGGTGCCCTAGTGATAAGTACGTGGGTAGGCTTAGATGCAATCCAAGCACGTATATGATATGTGTAACTTGTTCTACTTATATATATGTGAATTAATTGTGAAATTATATGTGTATATGAGGAATTGACACAAATGGTGAGGTGGAGCCCCCATTT